AACATTGACAAGGCAATTATGAAAAAGCTGACTGTATTAGTCATTTTTACTAAATGATATGGTTATAACTCACAAACGGTTTTACAGATATTGACCCTAACATGTGGAGCTGCAGTAGCTGAGCATCATTCACAACACATTTTAATAAATTACTATGTAAATGTTTGCTTAAAACATCATATTGGAGTCAATCCTGTTTCTCTGAAATATCTTAAGAACTTCTGGACAGGTAATTAACAGGAAAAATGAAAGGGTTATAACAGTGAATTTTACAGATGTGTTTAATTCACATACAATACAAAAACAAAAGATGCAATTTTAGATTTATTTATTTTTTTATATTTTTACTCTGATAATGTTAAGGTTATTCTTTGTTCACAAAACAACAACAACAAAAAAAACCCCAGTTGATCTTTAAAGGGAATCGGTCATGTGGAAACCCATACTTCTACAGCTTGATGTGGCCCATATGATCATAGAGCAGTTCTGTTTCTGGATGACAGCAGTGCCGTTATCACTCTGTGGACCTCACCTCACCTTCTGTGTCTTGGCCAAGTTGGCAGAATAAACTCCCCAATGACAACAAGATTGCATTTTTCTATCTGAAAAAAAAAAAAAAAAATCTCCACTTGCACTGAAGCCAAAATGAGCTTGAGCTTCAGAGATAAGGGACACTTAGGGGCGTTTTAAAATGTTTCACCAAAAAAAAGAAAAAAGTTTATTCTTTAGCCACAAATATAATTTGTTTTGAAATAAATCTCAGCATGTTTAGCTATAATGATCCAGCAAAAATGAGGAAAACACTAGACAAAACAAGGAAAACACAAATGCTATTAGTTGCAGAGGTTTATTTTATGCATCTACAACAATAATTATACAACTTCATTCATAAAGCACTGTTAGGATCATTAAACAAACAAACGAAACAAATAAAAAAAAACTATTAAAATCCAAAATTTCAAGCTGACTGAAAAGCCAAGGAGAAAAAATGTTTTAAGAGAAGATTTAAAAACAGGAAGTGCGTCAGCCAGTCTGATGAGCAAAGGCAGCTCGTTCCACAGTCCAGGAGCAGCGACTGAAAACACTCGGTCACCTCTCAGCCTCCTCTTTGATTTTAGAACCACCCACAGCAACAGCTGACCTGAGAGAGTGTGAGGGAACGTACAGCTGGAGCAGGTTGGACAGATACTGTGGAGCGAGACCATAAAAATAACTAAAAGAACCTTAAAGTTAAACTGGAAACAAACTGGGAGCCAGTGTAGTGATTCTAAAATGAGGGTGATGTTCTCTCGTTTTCTGGTACCAGTTAAAAGGTGAGCAGCAGCGTTCTGAAGTCAAGTCAAGGTTCTTTATTGTCATTCTTATCACATGTGGTACATGAGGTGGAGCGAAACTGTGTACACAGTCGAACTGGCTCAGACCAACAGAAAGTGCATTACGGTAGTCTAAACAAGTTGTGATAAATGCCTGGATTACAATTTCAAAATGATGATGTGAAAGTGTGTAACATTCTAAAAAAGTTGCGTCTGTTCCTCTGGATGGGTTCGAAAAACAACAACAAAAGAAAAAAAATTGTAGAAACGTTTCGTCTTTCATGCGAAAGACTTCTTCAGTCTGAGGAGCTGCATTAGTTCAGCCTTATAAATAACACCTTCTCATAGTGCCTGGATTATTGAGCATGCTTCAGAATGTGGGTAACATTGAAAAAAAAAAGAGGTTATGTTTTAGTCAGAATATCAGCCTGTTTATGGTGCAGAAACACTCAAAAGTCTTGAGGTGGTTAATCCTGAATATTTTACCCCCCACTTTTGACAAATGTGCCCGTCCGTCCTTCCATCCATCCATCGATTGTCTTTACCTGCTTCTTCTTTTTCAGGTCACTCGTGCTCAAATCCAGCAATCACTGTGCGAGGGATGGGGGACACCCTGGACAGGTCTCCAGTCCATCACAGGGCCACATAGAGACAAACGAGACAAACAACCATTCACTCTCTCACTCACACCTAGGAACAATTTAGAGTTACTAATCAGTCTAACATGCATGTTTTTGGTCTGTGGGAAGAAACCAGAGTACCCAGAGAAAACCCACACATGCATGGAGAGAACATGCAAACTCCATCCAGAGTGGCCTTTCGGGTGGGATTTGATTCCACGACCTTCTTCCTGAGAGGCAGCAGCTCTACCAACTGCTCCACCATGCCGCCACAAATGTTACCATGAAAACAAACAGCAACAAAAAAATCAAATTAAAAAACGGCAGTCTATTTCTGAAAGAACAGAATGGATGTTATTTCTGTAACCAACAATTTCAGCTGCTGATGTTTCTACATGTGGTACCTCAGAAAGTAATCCTTGGAGCAGGGCTCAAAATAAACCACAGAGTGGATGTTAATATTTTCCAAACAACATGTCTAATCTAAGTGGAAAATTACAGGTCAGAAACTGGATTTTAACTCTGTACGTTTTAGATTACATGAAATTAATTCATGCTCACACATTATTGGGAAGAAAAATATATTAAACATTGAATAAAATTTCACTTATGATTTAAAGGCAATTTTTTTCATAAATATTTGGATTTGCCTTAACATTTGTCCATCAAGTAGAACAAGCTGATTTTCCAATCAAATGCTAAAAGGAGCAGAAACACATCTGCGCACGTGAAGCCACTAGAATCACTTTAAACAAAGACGTCTTCTCTGCCATCTTCATAAATAATATTCAGAGCTCTATAAATAATACATGCACACACAAATTAGTCCAGTCTCTTTAATCACTGTTTAACTATCCTCCACTGTGCGATGTTGATAAAGATTTTGCTCATTTCTGAGTTTTGCATTTTTCACCAAAAATCTCATGAACCCCTGGAGAGATTGTAAAAAAAAAAAAACATTCAGGAAGCACCTTCTGGATGTACATCTACAACTGATTAACTTTTGGATTCATCTAGATTCAAGGTGGCCACCAAAGCCAATGAACTTAAAATGTGTGGTGGTGTTAGCAGAGAGACACTTATGACATAAACTCTAAGTGCTAACAAATCATGCAAGGCATCAAAAACTTGCACAAGATTGCTCATGTTATTTTTAAGGTCTTGCAATTGGCTGTAACTCCAGCATGAAAGGCAGTGTACAATATGCATAACATGAAGAAATGCAAATTGCATATTTAATGGCACTTTAAGCTTTAATTCCTAATGTTGTCTTTTGGCTTTTAAGAGTTTTTTTTTTTTTTTTTTTTTTTTGAGAGCAGAAACTGTGGAGATGTCACTTTACAGGAGACCACTGAGCTGCTTAAGTATAAAATGGATGGACAGTGGTGACACAGAAAAAAAAAGAACCACACACACACAATCTTCTTTGATAACGGCTTTGCATCTAAATCCAAATTGCTATTGTGTGGTCAACAAGACTGTGGAGGGATTTAGATTCAGAAAAGCGCACTGCAAATATTATATGGAGTTTATCACTGGGTTAGCTCTCAGTGTTACTGTTGTTGAAGTCACAGAAAAAAAGAACATGTAGTCAACAACTAATGCACAATTAGAAGCTCGGACCAAATGTTGACAGCTGCAATTATATTGGTTTTGTGTTAAATCTGAAGAAAATTCCCTGAAAGTTAAAGGCATCACTTTTAAACTGTTCATACACTTAATGCATATATTTGGAAAAAAAAAAAAAACATTTGAGCATTGTCTTTATTTTGTTCTAGCTTGTAAATAAAAGAGCACATTCAAGTGATTGTCAAACATGTTTAAAAAGCATTTTATCTTAATATATGTCAGAAATTTCCCTCTGGTGCTTGTGATGATAGATGATACATTTGCTATGGAGAATGCTTCTGTTCCAATTCACTTCTATCACACAGGAAATATGAAGGAATCACATAATAAAAAGCTACTTTTGTGTTGCTGAACCAAATTTTTACAGACTACAAAGTAATCCCGGCTGTTCAAAAACTGCCTTTATAAAAGACTGCTTAAATATATATGCTTTTACAACTGGCATTTTAAAACATGAGCACTAGAAATCTGTCCTATGTATCCAAAAAGTTTTTCAAACCCTGCCTCAAAGACCTCTGTTAAACTCAGACTTAGTTTAATAAAGATGCTGACTGAAACTTATTTCATAACTTTGAAGTTATTGAGCTAAACATTGCTATGCTAGTTGCGTACAGTGATCCCAACACATATTTTGACCACTACACATTGTTGCTGTAAAGCTTTGGCACTCAACCCCCTTTCTGTTGGCAAAATATCTCAGGATCTGTTGGATAAATGTTAATGTAACTCAGAAAGTATCTACAAATGACTACGTTTTTCTAGTCACCCAATTGCAAGATGGTCACAACATTGAAGAAATGACTCCAACTCAGTCAGTTAGCCATAGGTGGTAGTAGCTGAGAGTGCTTCATCTCACAATATTGCTTTAGATCAGGCATAGCTCAATAAGAAGGTTCAACTCCATCCTTTCTCTTGATAAGACGGCTCTAATCTCAAACCTTGACAAATTGCATCTTTAATGTTGTTTTGAACTGTGCTGTTCGTGCACTTTGTAGCATCTTTTAGCATGGCCTGCAGACACTGGCAGAGCGCAGTGACATTAGCAGTCAGTTTATGTTTCTGCACCTTCAATTAGTCAATTATACATGCATCAGGCTGATGTCCACCCGGTCAAAGATGTCAGGCAAATTATTAAAGATGCTCACTGCTGAGCTTTGGAGATGATATGCAAATCTGCACGAGAGTGCAAATGCACAATTAGATTTAAAATAAATGATTAAGCTTTTGTTGATGGAGCCTTAGGGTACTGTTGCTGTTAGTAATCTATGCTCAGTCATTGCAGAGCTATTAACGCAGTTTATCGATCACTTACTGTAAAAGGAGGTCAACAGCATCTAAACACAACCAAACAGCCACACAGTCAATGCATATCTACAAAAAAAAACATGTGACTGATCAAAGAGGAGAACAAGAGGCGTTTGTTTCTCACACCGACACAGCCCGCCGGTGTTTCCTCACGCTCCCCGCTCAGCTGCGAGACTCAAGCAGCTTCCGAGGAGGAGGAGGAGAGAAGAAGAAGCGACGGAGAGATGAGCATCAACATGGAGCTGCGGCTGCTGGGGCTCGCGTGGCTCCTCCTGGCCCTCGGAACCGCCGGGGTTCGGTGTCTGACCGGCGACGAGGACCAGGGCCAGGACACCGAGTGCAAGACGAAGAGCGTGACCGTGTCCGCGCTGCCGTTCCTGCGCGAGAACGACCTGAGCATCATGCACAGCCCGTCGGCCTCCGAGCCCAAGCTGCTGTTCTCAGTCCGGAACGACTTTCCCGGGGACGTCGTGGTGGTGGACGACCTGGAAAACACCGAGCTGCCCTTCTTCGTCTTGGGTGAGTTGTTTCCGGACACGGCGGGGCTCGTTATTAGCCTCCAATGAAGCGGATTAAATCTCAGCCAGTCCACGCTATTCCACCAAACATCTGTCTGAATGAGCCTAGGCCTGGCTCTCATGTCACTGTTTTACCACCGAACCAAAGTGAGCAGCTAATCGAAGTGTTTGTTTATGAATACAACCAGACTGTCAGGGGTTCTTAAGTATCGGGAATATCTGCCATTAATGAAACGAGAACTAGCATTTTCTTATGCAGTGATAGGCTCCATAGCATCGCAGTGCTAATTACTGTGTAAACACATACCATTATATGTTTTATTTATGTCCTGGATGTTCATACATGTTTACTTTCCAACCTGAGCTCTGGTTTTTCGGGTAGCAAACAGGCTTGTTAGCATGACTAGCTAGCAAACTTTGCTCACGTTAATGCAACTTTCTCCCTGTCACCCTGTGTTTACATTCTTAACACTTCACAACCACATCCCATGTGAGTTCCTCCCTGCTACATTAAAAGCTGTGTGGACGTGAAGAGCAGACCCAGGTCATGATGTTAGACTCGGTTCAACAAGAGGCTGGAGAAGTTTGCATGGAGGGAGTCTGTGGTCGCTGACCATGGTGCTGAAGTTTACCTTAGCTTACAGCTAGCTGCTGACTTCTCTGCAGAAACAGACTCTGAGGCGCTAAGCTTCAAGTGAAGTGTCATGTTTATGGGCAGCTGATAGTTTTGTTTTGCTAGCTTTTGAGTTTTGAATGTTTGCGTGATTTCTGTTTTCGGGGGGGTCGTCTTCCTCCATCTCACTCTGTCCTCTGCGTCTGTCCTCACTCCAACTACCTCCATGTTCTCTCTAACTGCATCCATATATCTCCTTTTTGTCTTTTTCCTGGCAGCTGCATTTCTAACATCCTTCTACCAATACACCCACTGTCCCTCCTCTGGGCATGTCCAAACCATCTCAGTGTGTCCTCTCTAACTTTATTTCCCAGTTGTTCAACCTGTGCTGTACCTCTGATGATCATTCTTAATCTTATCCTAAGGAGAACCTCAACATCTTCATTTCTGCCACTTCTAGTTCTTTCTCCTGTTTTTTTGTCAGAGCCACTGTCTCCAGACCATACAACACAGAGGTCTCACAAATAACTTTTCCTTTGACCTTTGCTGCCACACGCTTTTGTCACAAATCCCTCCTGAAACTTTTCTCCATCCACTCCATCCTGCCTAGACTCTCTTTTTCACCTTTCACCTTAGAGTAGTCATCCTCCAATGCAAGAGCTGGGGGGTTGAATCCACCAGCCATCATATGCTGAACCCCTCATTGTCTCCGATGTGTGTCCCATCGGTGTATGAACATGATAAAGCTCTGATTATTCTCTTTACAATGGCTTGTTCAATTAGCTTTGTATATCTCTAGTAGAGTGCTGTATGAATGGGTAAATGAGGGCACAGATTGTAGTGTAAAGCACTTTGAGTGTCTTGATAAAAAGACAGGGACCATATAAGTACAGTCCATTTACCATTTACCTCTTTACCACACTCCCCATTTTCCTGAACAGTGGACCCCAAGTACTTGAAGTCCTGCACCTTTGTGACCTCTGCTCCTTGTAGCCTCACTGTTCCACATGCCTCCCACTCATTCACACACATGTTCCCTGTCTTACTATGACTGAGTTTCACTTCTCTTCTTTTAAATCTATAACTCCTACTCTACAACTTCTGTTCCACCTGTTCCATGTTTTTAATCACATATCACAGTACACTCCTTATTTATTTATATGTTGCTAGCTCAAATTCTCAAACACTGTGATTTTTTATAATGTACAATACATGATTTCCAGCATATTTTGTTGGTTATGTTACCACTGTTAGCAGAACTACAATTTATTTAAATTATTAGCACAGTTGAAAACTCACAGGAATGTACATCAAACAGTATGTTGGCCTGCCACTACAGCATGAAGCAGGACTTTGGGTTTGGATGCTTGAGCAGTGGTACATTGCTTCATCTTATATATAT